CACGTGGAGCAAGCACAGCTTGCTCAACACAAACATATTTACTTCGTCAACGAAGAAAAAGCTGTTGAGGTACACGATCGCTGCATGGTAAAACGGTGGCTGCGTAGATAGGTCACAGGTTTTCGCGTCACCGTTCTTGAGCAATGACTCCACGTTTGAATATCTCTTGATCAATATACAGCTCAGACTCGTTAACACGGAACGGATTTCGACACCAATCGATAGTTGAGCGGGGGTCTGGAGTGCAATTTGAGCAACAATGTTACCAATTTCACTGCCAACAGCTAGAAAAATACCTTCAGTTACGACGGGACCGATCGTACCCAAAGTCGTAGCCACCGCCTTTGGAAGAACCTCACCAGCGTTCACATGTATTACACCGGCCTTCTGTCGAACATCAGCTTTAGTAACCGACCCAAAGGTGGATGAAAGGAGGCGTGCCGCTGCCTGGAAATTAAGGGCGCGGGTATTTTGCGGCTTCGGTGCTGAGCGATTTGGGCAGATAGCACGGTGTTTTGACTCTCCGTAGAAACAAGGAGGAAATTTCGACAGGTCTGTGCCATGAGCACGCTTAAGCGTTCGAAGCCGCATCTCCAGTTCCTTGGCCGACTTGTTGATGCGATTCTTGTGGAACTTTCGGGCGACGTCAGACCACACGACACGCCGTTTCTGCAGGGCGTATTAGTATACGCACGGGACTAAGAGCTTATCCGCTTCGTCAGAGAACGTTGGTGCATGGGGGCAATCAATGGTTTAGAAGTGACTCATATATTTCAGAGGTGTAATTTTTGGTATAGTTTATCAAAGACGGTTGCACGAATCCAGATGATATAATAATTTCAGCACGCTATAGAAACCTCAAATGACAAAAAATGCATACTTTGATCAAGTTCTTTACACGGTTCAATCAGGCCAACCTCACCTGTGTTGTTATCAGTGCTGATTGCTTCGGTACTACATACAGTTGAATCGCACAATTGTTTGATGTCTTCGAATTCTGAGGTGTGAGCTGTAGAGCCGAAGCCGTTATTGGGGCGTAAAGGACCGTACAAATGCAGATCTGGACTGACGGGTGGGTAGGTACAAGCTTTCATCACTGTCCAACATTGAGAGGATCTCGTTCTAGCTGCTAATGATTTGAAAAAAGATGTAGTGTTGACTATAAAACGATTAGATATTGTGTATCGTGGTCTAGAGATCCACTTGCCTCACTACAGATCTACCTTGCTCATGAGTTGCTTGAGGCTGCTGCTGTAAACTAAGTTTGAGTTGGTATAGTTGAGACGTCTTCCGCACCCGTCCTTTCGTAGAGAATAATTGCTTCTGGAGATAAATCCGGTGAGATTTCACCCAGCACGTCCATGTTGCTTGAGGACACATGTATGGTGCTGGCTCGGAGTCAAAATAGCCTTTGCACAGACAAACAGCGTGAATAACGCAATAGTCCGTCACTTCGGTTGGATACTTGCCTTCCCACCGGCAGACAATGCATTGGCGACGCTTGCGATTTGAGTCACTGAAGAACTGCTTAGACTCGACTGCTGTGCATGTCTTTTTGGGGCTGTCGATCGGCGAGCTTCGTACATACGCGGGGCTTATTGGTGCTGTCACCTGTATCTCCATAGAGGTAGCATTGATGTTGGAATACAGGATTTTAGCCTCACTTGGTGCGTCCGATAATTTTCCAGTGATAGGTTCCGTTACCAACTCCATCATGAAGCTAAGCTGTGGATCAGGATTATTGGAGGGTTTTTGCCCCTTTTTCGGGTTCGGTTTTGCTTTGCTTGGGGGGCCTTCACCCGGGGCCTTGGTTGGGTTTTTTTGCCCTTTTTGGATTGATTGCTCTTCGGCATTTGAAATTGAGCTCGAAGTTGATCCAACTGATCGACCCCCTGCATATTTGTTGTAGTTCTTCACACACGTTGAGGCCTCGAATGTTTGACGCTCACTGGAGACCAGACGTTGAACAATGATTGCTTCCGATGCATCAGCGTTATATACAATACTAACAATACTTGCGTCACACCAAGATGGTGCAAGTATTTGGTGGTACACGGACACGCCCTGGCGGTACTCGCCTCATGTACTCAAAAAAAATTTTCAACATCACGTGCTTTGGAAAGTGTTTGCTCGATCCACGAACCGTTCCTCGTCCAAACAGTTACTTTTGCTTCAGTGTTTGTAGTAGCTGCATGGAGGTGTAGAAATTGTCAGTATTAACCACTCTGTTCGATGAATATATCGGTGGGACAACCTCCAGTACGATCTGACGAATCTGAGCTCCATGGGATAGTTTACTGCCAAGAGCTTGAGTCTCAGTTGG